AAAAAAAAAAAAAAAAAAAAAGCTCCAAATAAAACAAACAAAAAACAAATAGAAATAAAATAAACAATATACAAAGGAAGGGAAGGATCGATCGGTTTGCGTTCGGGAAGCATGCCAACACAAAAGAAAGGAAGTGTCAAACCGGGCTGAAAAGAAGGAAAGTAGAACAACACGTTTCCAAATTATAAAGCACACGGCACTGTACATAAACATCAAAAAATTTTTCGACGACGCACCAGCGGCGTGCCAAAAACGGTGGTCCACTAAAAAAAGCTACATTGCGCTGGGTTGCGGAAAGCCCGCGGGATCTGGCAACGACGTGTATGAGCACCGGTCCTCACAGTAGATGACCACCGAACACGGCCGTCTGCGCCATCATCATCATCGTCATCATCATCATCGGCATCATCATCTTCATCATCATCATCATCACCATCATCATCATCATCGGCATCATCATCATCGTCATCATCATCATCGTCGCCATCATCAACATCATCATCATCATCATTGTCATCATCATCATCATCATCATCATCATCGTCATCATCCTCATCATCATCATCGTCGCCGTCGTCATCATCGTCGTCGTCGTCTTTGTCGTCATCATCACCATCATCATCATCATCATCATCATCATCATCATCATCATCATCATCATCATCATCATCATCATCATCACCATCATCACCATCATCATCATCATCATCATCATCATCATCATCATCATCATCATCATCATCATCATCATCATCATCATCATCGTCGTTGTCGTGTTCATCATCATCACCATCTTCGTTATCGTCGTCATCCTCGTCGTCGTCGTCAGCACCATCATCATCATCGTCGGCGTCGTCTTCATCATCAGCATCGTTGGTCTGAAGACTCTGAACGTCGCCGTCTTCGTCATCATCGTCGCCATCATCATCACCATCATCCGCATCACCGTCGTCGCCACATGCAGTCCGCGACCAGCGTTCACGCCTCCCCCTCGTCTGCCTTCTCCTCCTCTTCGTCGTCAATCTCGGGTGGTCTGGTGCCCATCCAATCCAGTCTCCTGGCGAGATCGGGAGACGCCAACGTCGCGTCGTTGTTGAAAGTCACCCCGCAAAAAACCCAGTCGGGGATGTACAAAGGAGAGTCCACCAACGTCATTGGGGGCTTTCCCATTTTCTCCGTCACGACGTTCACGCACTGCAGAACATGGCGCCGCGCGTCAAACGAGCGATGAAGCGATGCAATGAGTGTCGGTCTCGCGACTACCTCCATCAGATGGGAGGCCTCGTAGTGAGAGCGCAGTTTATCACCCGCCATCCGCATGATCCACATGGCGGCAGACAGCAACAGGCGCATGCAGTCCGCGATGTTCCTCAACCTCTCATACGAAATCCGCCCGCCGTCCACCCCCTCCCCCACGTCAACAGCATTAGTGAAAGCTCCGACGAGACGCTGCATTGTGGACTCTTGATACGATGCCATCTCGTCGTCCTCGTGCCTGTCGTGTATGATGCCACCAACGTACCATATGGGGAGCTTCATACGAGCCTCCAAAGTGTTGTGGACGACAGCGGGACTGACGCAAACACGCCATTCCTCTCCCAACCAGATGGTGCGGTCCAGGTCTGTGGCCACGTGGTTGAGCACATACCTGTACGCGCAGTGATAACCGCGTGCGCAATTAGGGGACTTGAAGAGCCACCCATGGATGATGCGCAACGCTATCGTCTGCACCCTCCCAGCCCTCTCCTTGGCGGCCTGCAGCTCGGACTCGTCTTCCATCTTTTGGAGAGGGATCGTGGAGTTAGGCAGCACGATGCTTTTTCTGATCTCCGGCGGCTTCACACCCTTCGCGATGGCCAGAAGGTGCAGGCGAGTTTCCTGTATCATCTTCACCATCCCATGCCCCTCCGTCTCGTTCCAAAAACAATGATCGTCGACCCACAGCCGTGCTTTCGTCTCCATAGCCGCCATGCCTCCCGTTCGCCTCTGCCTGTTGATGAGCGGATCGTCGTCATCATCACCATCACGGCCGTCGCCCCCGCCTCCTCCAGCTCCACCCGTCGACGTGCCCGCAATGGCACCCGCCGCCGCAACATCCTTCGCCCGCTGCACGCGGGGGGCTGGGGCCTGCTTGCTGCAGTCACCGTTGCCCCCTCCTCCCTTATCGCTTGTCCCGCTGCTGGCGTCGCCTGGGTCGACGACGCCCGCAGCGGCTGCTGTCTGCCAATGTCATGCGCCGCGGGGACGTCCCTTGCTTGCACGGGGTTGCGCGTCGTCGGGGTCAGTTGGCGCCCCCGATCGTCCCTGCCACCACCAGCGGCTGCCACGTCGCCCCCTGCGTCGTTGTCACCACGCGTGACGTTCAAGCCTACCCCTTCGATGCCGCCTTTTCCCCTTCATCTCCGTTGATCATTTGCGCGGCGGTTTGTTCGCGCGAGCTCCCTTTGACGCCATGAAACGTGTCCGCCTCCGATTCGAAATCGTCGTCCTCGTCGTTGCTTCCCTCCGTGATCCACTCTTCCCGCGCGTCCCTGCCAATTACCAGGGCGCCACCGCCTGATGCCTTCGCCTTCTTCGCCTAATGCCTCCCCCGCTTTATGGCGGTAGCAGTTTCGCCCTGATTACTAGACTCCCTCCCCCTTTTCCCCTTCGCTGCGTTGCGCATATTCGTCATCGCTGTGAAGACAAACGACGTCGATGGCGGACGGCTGGTGGAGGAGACTGCTGAGGGCCGCACAACCTGCCGCTATCTGCGTGTGATTGAATAGACGCCAGACGCGCGGATGGCGCGTATCGCCACAACGCCGCCTTGTCGAACAGCCACGCGCTCGACGCAACGCCGCCTTGTCGAACAGCCCGACTGCCACGCGCTCGCCGCAACGCCGCCTTGTCGAACAGCCACGAAGACGCGCGCTGCGCAAGTTTGAACGGCGACACCGTGTCCAAGCGAATTCGGCAACGAAGACGACGTCCGGAGAGAAGGAGGTGTGTCGACGAGGTGTCCAGGCGCAATTCGCGACTATGACCGACACGGCGTCCGACTGAAAGGAAGCAGGCGTGTCGCTTGGCCCAGCGCGCTGTCGACTGCCCTGCAATGCGCCGTGCGACAACACCACCAGGACTGCTTGGAATGGACTGCTGTGTTCTTTGATCGGTGGATGGGCGCCCGCAAAGTTTATAACGCGAAAGCGCACGTGTCGAAGGCACTATTCGGCGGTACGGAAGAGGGGCCGTCTACTGGTCGGTGATGCGGTCGCGGGTGGGGGCAGGCCGAAGGGGATGCCTTCGCGGGATCAACGCGTTCGCATCCCGCTCTCCCTCACACGTGCTGTCATTGAGTAGTATCCCCTGAAACACACCCCCGCAGCGACGAACCCCCTCGCCATCACATGAAGGCGGAACGCCGAAAAAAAAAAAAAACTTGCCACCCCCTACCACCCAGCCCATTGGAGCCTCATAGACAGGCATGCACAAAGACGTCTGCATTGGAAGGCGACCTTTGAATGCCATGCCGCATATAGTGTTGGCCAAAGAAAGGAGGTCGTTTCAGTACACAGATGTTCGTCGCAAGAACGCAAACATGAAGCAACATAAAACAGAAAAATTTAACAAAAAAGGAAAAAATACCAAAAAAAAAAAAAAAAACGTTATCCTCAACACACTACCACGAATTGATCCAAAGGACCTATACAGAAAAAATCTCTCTCTCTCCCTCTCTCTATCTCTCTCTCCATATGGAATCTCTCTCTCTCTCTCTCTCTCTCTCTCTCTCTCTCTCTCTCTCTCTCTCTCTCTCTCATCCATGGAAAAAAAACGAGGCACGAGCAACATCCACATCCATGCGACTGCGGTCGACGACAGCGGATTCACAATGATGTGACGGCTACAGTCGACCAATGATCCCCGACGGTCGCACGTGTCTACCGTTCTTGTATAGCCTTCGCTATTTCCAGCAGCGCCTGGCACATAAGCTTGCTAACTTCAGTGGAGATAGAACAGTGTTGTTTCTGGATCTCCACCTCCGCTTCGATGGCTTCGCACTGTCGAATCTGGATGGAGCATTGCCTCTTGCTCGCGCTCTCCATTGTCTCGCATTGCCTCCCGCTGGCGCTCTCCATCGTCGACGCCATCAATGCCCCATGCTTGTCCATGCACTCCGACATGGCCTCGAATGTTTGCTGCTGCACATTCTTCCTCTTCCCGATCCCGGCCGGGCCACCACTCGTCTGTGAGCCACCCCGTGCTGAGCTGTCGTCTTCGTCATTTCCATCACCGACGGCTTCACCATCCCCCACAGATTCCGGAGTCGCCGATTGTGCAAATGGGAGTTGCACACCCCCTGCCCCGCCAGTGTCTGCAACATTGGTCGGGCTGATAGTGTGGCTTCTCTCCCTCTCCCCTTTGATCTCCTCGAAGACGGCTCGATCCATGTTGAAGTTGAATCCTTTCTCTGCCCTCTGCTGACTCGACAGCTCGAAGAAGTCCTCCTTCCCCGACATGCCCATGAAAGCATGGACCTTCTTGAAGTGCTGCATGAGATTGTCCCATTTTTTCCCGCATTTGTCTGTCGGCCTGTCGACACCGACCTTCAGCAACCACTCCCGGACGTCCATCCAATTCCACTCCTTCATCCGCATCCGAGCAAAGTTGTGTCCCGACGCTTGCAGTTGGGCGTCCTGATCCCGCCTCGCCCTGATTAGGGCCAGCATGTGTTCCACGGACCAGAAATTCCGCCCTCCTTCCCCATCACCCTCGCCTTCCGCGTCTGTAGAGGCCGTCATCGATCTCGTCCACCTGCGCACCGCTCTAGTCGAAGTGCTGCCCCTGCCGCCCCTGCCACCCCTGCCGCCCCTCCCGCCCATATTCGGCGCACGCAACGGGAACACGTCGCCGCTGTCGTCGTCGTCTACGTCGCACCGAACTTCGTCAGCGTTTGCCCACGCGTCACCCCCCCCGGCGGCCACGTCTGCTTGCCCACTCCGCTCGCCCACGCGTAAACGCTCCACACCTTTCGTTATGGACTCTTCTTGCTGCCGCCGCAACTCCTGCCTCACATCCTTCCACACCCGCCTGCCATCTCCATGCGCGCCCTCGGAAGGGAAATCTTCGTGAGTCACAGCCCGATCAACGGGACGACGAACGCCGTCGCGCCGCCCGGATAAAGGAGGATTGAGGGTCATCCACTCAGGACGTTGCCCGACAGTGTGTGGAACTAACGGGCCAGAAGTCGCCTGCGTTCGAGGCCATGCCGTCGTCTTCCCCGACGTCACCTCTGCCGCCTCTACGCCCCTTGTGCCCCTGGCGCCGAATGTGACCTGCCCCATGTCGTCATCGGGATGAGGGTTCACGAGCACAGTGCGCGTGACAGAAGACGGGCTCCCGCTCCGGAGGCCAAATGTGAGATCGACAGGGGGGAGGCAATCCTCCTCCTCCGCGTCGTCGTGAAGGAGGGAAGTGAACGACTGCCCGTACTTCGTCCCTCGGCGATCATACAACTGGCTACCCATCCACTCCTGGGTAGACCCGCTACCCAGCGGAACTGTCGTCGACACGTCCACCTCCGCCTCCCCCTCGTCCGAATCGGGCAGCGGTTGCAAGTGAGGCAACAATCCTTCATACGGTGATGGACCTGCCGCCCTTCTGTCTGCACCGACACAGATCGGAGCCCGGTCGGTTGGATAAGGGCCGGACAACGTCCTCTGAGTCGGCCGCCTCCCGTCCAAGGCAACGCTCTTCCTCGCCCCTACTTTCCTGCGACTATGTGAAGGCAACCTCCACAATATGCACACGTGAACAAAGACGACAACGACAAGCAGAATCACGACGAGGAGGAGCAGCGGCAGCGTGCGGAACACGTCGGCCATGTAAGACAACCGCAGCGTAACGGCCAACCTAACGGCGATAAACAGCAGACGCCAAGTGATGGCTGATGACGCCCTCCGCCGGTTTACATTGCGGACCTCTGCTGTCGGCGACGGACGTACAGCCCGACGAATTTCGAAACGGCCGCCCGTTGGAGGCCTGTCCGTTTCCCGCCGGCACGCGCGAGCGGCCGGGTCACCTCGGGCCCTCCACGGACCCCGTCGGCCACTCTTCGTTACCGTTGCCGCTGTCCCCACCGAAGTCGAACGTTGTCGACCGGTAATGTCCGCCCACACCTTGACTGGACCACCGTTGTTCTACACTACAAAATTGTGTCGTCGTCGAAGGCAGCCGCCGCCGTCCCGATTTTCGCGGAAACTCCCACTCCGAGGGACCTCGCAAGGTGCCTTGGGGAGCGCAGCCAAATGGCTGTGGCCCGAGGACGCCCCGAGGACACCCTGAGGAAATGTTTTCACATCGGTTTCCAAGGAACTCTCTCCGAGGACAGATGGAACGATCATTTCCTCGGGATTTTTTAGCGCCCGAGGAGTGTCTAACGAGCCCCTAAGAAAAAAAAAAAAAAAAAAGCATCCCTTATGCTGTGATTGAGGTCCGATACAGGATGCTACAGTACTTGTCTGGAACTGAATAAAAAGAGGCAGTTAGCTGCCTCCCGTGGAATCCACCCTGCATGAAATGAGTCAGGGCCCCACCACACCCCACCACGCTACATTTGGGCCGTGGCCAATCTGGGGTGTGGCCGAGACATCTCGGTCGTGGCCAATCTGGGGTGTGACGGAGACATCTCGGCCGTGGCCAATCCGGGGTGTGGCCGAGACATCTCGGTCGTGGCCAATCTGGGGTGTGACCGAGACATCTCGGTCGTGGCCAATCCAGGGTGTGGCCGAGACATCTCGGCCGTGGCGGCACGTTACAAAAAAAATTAAAAAAAAAATAAAAATCGGCCATGTGCCTGACTGAAGTGCTAGAAAAGGCGAGCCAAGTTTCAACTGCAATTGAAACTTGGGGCCTGTCTAAACTGCTAAAACGCAGTTCGAAATGCAATTGCAAACTGTAAGTTAAACACTGACTGCGCCATATTACACAAGCTGACAGTTTATCACACAAAGCATACATGCATGGACACACGTAGATCGTAGCCAGTTCAAGATCTGGCAGTAACAACAGATATATGAATGATGAATGCTTAACCACAAGTGTTCGCAGTGGTAGCGAATTTCCCCGTGTCTAGCTCGTCTGAAGCATTACCCACCCCGTCTTCTCCCTATCGTTATAACCGACTGACCACTTCCCACAAAAAGAAGGCGGAAGGGGCGTCATCCGCCCTACCCGCCTACAACACTATTGTCAAGGAGGATGTGCATTGACACACGCAATTCCTATATACTACACTCAACCGCAAAAACGTCAACAATACTTCCTACCTACGATTCCACACAAAAAATCACGATAGGCGCAAGAGCTCATTCGTCAACTTCCAGATTTCGTCCCGCTTTTTTGCGAAGGCTCCGACAACCTTCGAGAAGACGTGGTCCGGAAACCCCTTTGCGCGATACTCCCGTCTCAGAAAAAACACCTGTACCGGAATCCCGGTCCGATCCGTCGAATTTCGGTCCATACGATGTAGACTCCCTGCAATCGCTGCAACCTTCTGCTTACGACTCGTCCAGGACTTAAAAGTCCTGACCCGTTTTTATCACCAAAGGTTTTTTTGACCAAAATTTATTGGTCTATTCGTTTTTTGCCTTCTGCAGGGACCCCAAAAAAGGGAAAGACTTAGAGACCTTCAAACGGCACCCCAAGAAATCCCACTCCCCCGTAAGATCATCCGTCCTTTTCGGCTTGAGATTCTGCGGGTAGCACCTTTCGAATCTGCCCCTTATCCTTCTGGCCTTAACCTGTGATGCCGCGTTACCTTGTCTGTGCATCACAAACAAGGTAACGTCATCGACCAGGCGAAGACCATAAACCAACTTTCGATCGTTCCCCAAGGATCGCAAAAAACACCATTCCGCAAAAACGCACATGATGCATGTGAGCGGCGGACTCGTGCTCTTCCCCTGGTTCCCCATGGGGACGCCCACCTTCTGCCTCAATAGCAACTACGGCGACATCGTTACAGTGTGCAACAAATCAAACTTCGTAAAACTTACAATCTCATCTAAGCTAACACACCGCCATCTCCCATCACTCTTTCCGTCGAACATCGCTTCCTTCCCTCTCATATTCACTCTCACCACTTTCCTTCCTTCCTGTCGATGTCTCTCCACCAGCCAAGACAATGCCCGTACAACGTCCTTGTGGGGGAGGCGGCTAAACATGTCTTTGACATCATATGATGCCGCTGTCACTCTCGTCTGCCCCCCCCAACGTCTGAACTTCTCATTGGCCTTTGTCGGTCGGTCGGCCAATCTGGATACAACTGGCAGGTTGAAGTGTTCCCCTTCAGGTAGCTTTGATAATAGGAGGTTCAAGGCCCTTCCCATCCTCCTACTCGTGACATTCGCCGGCTCACTGAACGTTGGGCATATTGGTCGGAACAACGACAGATCCTTCTGCTTGGGTATAACATAGCTTCGCCCTACGCACCCCGCCTCCTTCCATTTGCCCACCAGCCCCGCCGAAACAACGACAGATCCTTCTGCTTGGGTATAACATAGCTTCGCCCTGCGCACCCAGCCTCCTTCCATTTGCCCACCAACCCCAAACATGTGTCGAAGTACTCCTTCTGGGTACCCTTCCAATACTCCTCTTCCGCAACAGGAACCACCTCAAACCCTTCATTCGTCAGGAATAGTTGTTGCATTCCTTCATAATACAGGTATGGACACATGACCACTGTCTCGCCCAGATTTCGGTCAACAGGGGTGAATACCATGCCTTCGAATATCTTCTTCACCTTGATCACATCCTATAGAGCCAACTCTTCCTCTCCCCGCGTTGCCTCCGTCATGCATGCCATTACCTCCCCGGGCTCCCCCATCTCCAGGTTCACCTTCCTGCTCTTCCCAGGGCCCCACTTTCGGAAGCCATCCTCAATCTCCCTCCTCAATTCCCTACCCTTCCTTGCTTTGCAACACGCAAAACATTCTTCGCGTTCGCCATCAAAATAGGAATGCTTGTCAGATCACCTATGTGACGCCCAACCTCACGCCCTGCGCGACTTCCTGATCGGAGTGGGGTGGGGGCCCGGAAGTGCGCAAAGGGGTGTGCCAAGGATTTTAGGAAAGTGGGGGTGGAGTCGCAAGTCGGAACTTAGATCTCCTGTGGCAAGTTTCGGGGGTATAAGCGCAAGAGGGTGTGCGCAGGTCGTATTTGGCACTTTTAATTTTCGTAAGACGGAGGGTAGACCACCTCTCGGGGCTTGTGCACAAAAGGGAAGTCGCGGATGTCGTGCAGCATAAGGCTGATGGCATGCGCAGTGCATCTCGGACTAAAGATCCCAGGGTACTTTTCCACAATCACAGCACCGATAGATCTAAACACGCTTGCATTCTTGAACAGAATCCCAACAACATTGCCCCTGCCGACGAACTCAATTTTCGTAAGCCTTCAAGCGCAAAAAATGTGAATCACCATCTCCTTTGGTTTTGTCTTCGTGGTTGGTCACGTGGTTCGACTAGTTGTTGGCGCCGCTCGGCTTCGGTGCGGGTTCGCTGAGCGAATTCCGAGGCTCGATAGGCCTGGTGCCGCCGACACTTTTCGCACGGTGTGCGGGGCCAATAACGGGCTATGGAATTCCACGGCACCACCGTGAGTTGGTGATATGGAAGGAGGACGTGAAAGAGAGGGAAACTGGTAGTAATAACGACGAAGCCAGGGGATATGAAATATTGCGTGATATAAGTATCTCGGTAATCGGGGCCCTTGGGGTCGTTAGTTACGACACAGTGAAAGTCCCTTGCGCACAATCGGTCGTTCTCTGTTAGACATGGGAATTCTGGGTTTCTTAAGTTCCCCCGCCGTCTGAGTTGTCACCCTCCCAGTATTCACGATATTCCGGGTCCCTCAGACTCTGACAATCGGACATCCAAGAGGGAAATTCCGCAGCCATATCCGTTTAGAAAGCTCGGTCTCGTGCATCCTCATACAGGGTTCCAGGCTGACTCACGCAGGCGAGCACGTACGTAGCGACTCGACCTTCTCGAGATCACGATCGTACGGGAGCGCGCACGTGGGAAACGGGGGATTGGTTTAGTCTATCGATCGCGTTGGGCATACATGCAAATATCCTACTCATGCTACGTTGGGTGAGGTCCAGTCATTACATGCCATCCATATGACAAAAAGGAGGAAAGAAGGGAAAGGATCATCAACTTCTTATAGCACTCTTGGCGATCGAAAGTTAGCGACTAAACCCAATTATCCATAACGAGCGTTTCCAATCAGATATGAGCGTATTGCTTACACGAAGGAATAATAGACCAAGATGATACGTCGGATACGGGCATCACAAAATAAGATTGGAAATCCGAAAAGATCACTAAAAAAAAGGGAATTCACAAATTTCGCATTCATTCCATGCATACATACGAAATAAAAACGACAAGGAAAATCTGAGACGATGTACAAGAGAAGTCCAAAAAGAAGGCCGCGCTAAAATCGGCCATATCAGGATCCAAAATTGTACAGATGAACAAAGGAAGGAAAGGGGCAAAGGAAAGAACCTCATCCCACACCCACGACTGCTCTCTCTCTCTCTCTCTCTCTCTCTCTCTCTCTCTCTCTCTCTCTCTCTCTCTCTCTCTCTCTCTCTCTCTCTCCCGATGCGGGCAGTCCGTCGCCTCGCATCAACACAGAGTTGTCACCCCGCTTGGTTCGAGCATGCAAGCCAGGTTCGCCCGTGTGCCACAGTCCGTCGCGGCCCCGCACGTCAACCCCGCATACCCGACACCAGCTCATCGGATCGCCCAACTCTCGCACTCACTCACCTTCCAAACTTGCTCGTTAGCCAACCCTCACTGGTCGCACTAACCTTGAAATTCTTAGAGAGCAAACTAATCGCACTTGCAGAATTTATAGCATGCATGCCTGCGCGAAAGGTACGGGATTGAGCTATGAA